CGCTATATCAAATGCAAGGATTATTATTATTATTACAGCCACGCACCAACTTAGAGTTGAAGCAAGTTCCCTGCGCGGGGTTTAAATCTGAGCAAGCATCTTGCAAGCATGAACGTGTTGCGTTGAGAGTTTAGCTTTCTCCCGGTTCTGAGAGCTGGAGCAACAGAGAGGAAACAAGGTACAGAAGGTACTGCCTGCGGTCTCTGGCCAGCTGCCAGCTCCTTATAGCCTAGCGGTGTGATTTTTGTATGTGCGGCTTGTCTGGTGTGTAGCCTGATCTTTAGCCACAAAAATGCACTGAATGCTGATCAGCAATGAGGCATGCCGACTGGTGCAAATCGTACTTTCCCCATTGCTACCCGAACTATGATCACTGAATGACTCAACACCCCATATAGCCAAACCACCAAGCGAACTGCATTCGTGCTTTATCAGCAAACTCCTCAAACATAATCATCAGTATTGAAGACATTGACCTAGATGGAGGTCGCCCTCTGCTCTCCCCAGAGCTTTATTCTTCAGGTGCCCATCTTTCTACACTTTAATGTTGAATAGTAAAAACTGAAATGCCACAAGGTTGGAAAATATTTGACGTCTGCCAGTTCTTATATTTTGACGGTCGGGCTAACCAAATCAACATTAGAGGTTTCCACATTAAAATTTCATCAGGGAATTCTTCTGATTTTAAAATAAAACTCGGCTCCGCTCTCAGCTTGACTGCTCTGTGTGAACCTGAGCCATAAAAGACCAGGAAGGTTTACAGCACCTGGCCTATCATGTCGAATGCCGGGCTTCGTTCCTGGCATGTGCTAAGATAGTTGGGGTAAGGGGAGTGGGGCTACATATAAAAAATCCACTCTCATCAAGTCTGCCTTATCCTCTCTGGAAAAATCTTAATTCCAATTATCATCTTTTCCAGCCCTTGACATTCTGCATTTCTTTGCTATCAATTCGGATAAATATTGCTTGGCTACCGTTCTCTTCCTCTTTCCTTGCCATATTTCCAGGCTTTACATTTCCTTATTGCTATCCATGCCTTTGCAAGTGAGTGGACATTAGCTCAGGATGCAACAAAGCCTGATCTTTTAGAGTCCTGTAACTTAGTAGTTAGAACACTCACCTCGCAAGCAAGAGGACCTGACCTGGGTTCGATTCCCGGGCAGGGCGTAACATTGGACAGGTTTCCTTGCTCCGCACACCTCTGCAATAAGTAGGAACCCAGTTGTTAGTCGATTGGTGATTCACTTTTCCAGGGATAATAATCCCTACAAAAAAATACAATAAAAGGGAAAAGTAATTTTGTCACTCAATCCACAAGTGTTTGTGGGACACTGCTGTACGCAATTGCCTGCTGCGTTTCACCCACAAAATATACAGTCAATTCACTTTGCAATATATTCTGTGAAGTGCTTTGAGGCGTCTCAGCGTTAGAATAGTGTTGAGACCAATTTCCGTACTGTTGCCCTGGCTAAGATCATCTAAGGCAGGCAGGATCTTCAAGCATAGATATGGCTGGATGGTACATTATGGTAGATGCAGGCCAGAATATCAAGCAAGTACTGCAAATCTCTTTTAAAGCAAAAACAAAACTAGCAAGGTATGCTAGTTTTCCTTTCCTGTGGTTTTCTTCAGTTCAATTCATAACAATACTACACCCACTGACCTGGACTTTGGCAGATTTTGAGCTGTTCATTTCCTCGAGTAGAGTCTAACTGGGGGTAGTATATGTAATACAACAACAATTTACATTTATATAATACCTTTCATTTGCGAGGATGTCTCGAAGCACTTCATGCATCTGACTGTGAGAATGTATAACTAGCTAATTCATTTTCCTGGATGAATCTCGTTCTTTGCAAATAAATCTGTTTGTTCAAGGAAATTAGTGCAGCACGTGTGTTGCATTAGAAACCCATTTGGCGCCTGCTGAGAGGAAGGGTTCAGTGGAGATTAATCGCTTGATTGCTGCCCAAACTCTGAGCCTGTGTTTTGGATTTTTCTAATCTTTTGTTGTGAACATCTGTTCCGGTGAAGCTGTTGAATCGTTAAAAGCAGTGGTGTTTAGTAGGCGTAAGGACAGGCTTTGCTGTACAGACTCGCTCATTAAGAAACTCACTGATCTTCACAGCGAGCTCATGTTATCCCCTGCTTTTTGGTAAAATTACTAACCCAGGGGGTTTACAAGTACAGTGGGATTTCCCAACTAGCCCACAAGATTAGGTGCTCACTCGGCACCATTCAGAGAAGCGCTCACCACACTTTTACCAGAGTTCCATCTTGAGGTTCTTTTGGTACTAAAGAACAATTCCAAAGTTGTCTTGAACCATTTATACCTTGTGACCATTTGTTTCTGAAGCCTGAAAAATAACTTATATAAAAGACAGAACCTGTACGTTTGTTGCACCACAACTATGGGCTCTGGCTGAGGAACAGTGTCTCTTAAGAAAAAAAAGCTTAACTTTTCTACAAAGGATTTTTTTTGAGAGCATGTACTTGGCATAAAATAGCTAAGCAAAAGCAATTAAGAAAGAGCTAATGAGATGAAGACAAGAAGTACAAAAAGACTTTGGGAATGGGACAAATCATAGTCTCCCATCACTCTCTCATCGTCTAAAAATCAAACATTTTATTTCTTCAATTTGTTAGAGGAATGAAAACTATTTTTTACCTTGTTTCCTGATGTTGTGCATGGATCATGCTTCTGGTTTGGTCAAGTTCATTCTCAGTTGCTGCTGGAGCTCCAGGCATTTTATTACTAATATTATTACAAACCTTTCATTTTTCATTTTGCAACAATTACACTGGCATTGACTTCAGTAGTTATCAGCACACGTCTCCTAGAGTCGGTGTTATTTTTTTCTGCAGTTCATTATCTTTGCATTATCCATTTATCTATGAATCATCATTTGACTCTGCTTTACTCCGCATTGACAACTCCAGTTTAATCCAGTTCAACATTCCCGCGCCTCTATCCACAAGCCATTTTAGGGAAGTTAATAGCTTTATATTGAAATATATTGCAGCTCTTGTAGTTCATTTGACATTCTTGTCCATAAATCATTTCCGAATTGAAAATTTAAGGCAAAAAAAATGACCTTGCATAAATCAGAGAATCTAGCAGCATTGCGTAAACCTCACAGTTCAACAGTTTCAAAGTTGTATATTTCTATTGCCTTGTTAACCATTTTATGTTTTTACTAAAATGTTGAGTTTCCATGTTCAACTGGTGCCTTTTGTCCTCTAGTACACAAAGCTAGTCCTTGTTTTATTTTAACCTAAGTTTATGCATGAGCAAGTATCTTTATCCCAATGCTTCCTTCTCTTTAGTAGTAGTCCTGGTATATTACACCCTTCTGTGCTCCCACTAATGAAGATCCTATTATAACAATCTTCCAGATGGACGGTTTAATAAAATTGCCAGTATCTCCTTGACTTATAGATTGTTTTCCCTTGAGTGCACAGTGTTGAGCAGACATTTGTTTTATTGCCAATGGCTCATCTTTGAGGACAGTGATATCAACCAATGTTGTCACTTGTGCTATTTGATACCATGTTGGATGGCAGAATAACAAGTATCCAAGATCTGAATGCTCAGTGAGTTCTGGCAAAAGCATGTCAATTCAAAACAATGCTGTTAGAGACAAATGGTTGTTTGTGAATTCACAGTTATTTGATCTTCCCAGAGTTGCAATCAGCACAAGATAGAGTAGTCACATCCCAAAGGTGACCCTACTTGTGTATACAATCCTTTCTATGCTGTATTTGTATAATTTTATATTCTGCTATAATCCTGGAATGTTTGAATGGAGAGTCAATTGATAAATAGACATTTTCCAGGTGTACCAATTTTAGTCAAGCTGCTTGAAATGACCACTGGTGTAGCCATCTATGGAGATGTCACTCCTGACACCTTGATGTGTGACATCTTTCATTCTCAGCCTTTGTCTTTAGGAATGATTCCGGGTGCTATTTGTTGATTTTTTTTTTTGCCGGCTATGTTGTGCTTACTGCATCTGTGTCTGCCTCATTGAGTTGAGCTACATAAGAAGTTGTTTGTTGCTTGAGTCCCTAAATCTTCATTGACATTGGAAAGATGGGCATCATCCAGTGTCAGTGATTGTCTTAGGGATCATTCCAGTCCCCACGATGCAACATAGCTTGGTGTCATAATAAACCTTTAGCAATGCACGGATATGCAGCTGTAAGTGTTACATGAGCCATAATGTACTCCTGAAAATTCCATTAAATGGTTCAACGTGGGCTGGGTGTTTGTATGTATAAATATTTGTGCTGTTATTTTTCTGAGGTAGGTATGTTTAGCACCTGGATGCATACAATTTATTTTAATTACTGGTTAAATGTTTGGTGTTCGATGCAAACTGTTTTTGTGCTGCTTTGATACTTCAGCAACCATTGTTAACAGCTGTGAACGGGGTTGGGCAGAATGGGGCAGTGATAAAATGCTTCTCCTGTACCTCTGGGTACAGACAGATGTGGTGAAAGCTGTTGGTGACTTAAACTTTTAAGTCGATCTTGATTTTCTTCTCTATCAGCCAAGTTCACAGCAATCGCTCCTCCAAGAAAAGCACCATGAGCATATCGTCACAGCGCCTTGGGACGTCCTCCCGACGTGAAAGGTGCTATACAAATGTAATTATGTATTGTAATTTGTATGGTGCAGGAGTCTCACTGTCTAACTTGCTCAATGCTTTAAGAAGCACTGGGAAACATATTAGTTATGAAGGAATGCTTTCAGATCTAGCTGTCATTCTCAATGAGCATTCTCTTCCTATGTCCCCAGTATATTGTCTAAATAAGCGATGACCATGGAATAAGTCATACAGGACGGAAATGGAAGTATCTGCTAAGGAGGTGTAACTACAATTGACATTGTTCATTCTTATTGTCTTATCACTGGATAGAGAATCAAACACTTATTTTTTTTAAATGTACGAGGAACAAACTATTTCTAATTAACTGTTATTTTATTTGTTATATAGCTTTATGCCAGTTCTTACAGGCTTCTAAAGGCAGAGATCGTGCGGGCTGTGTCAGTTCAAGTGCAGACGAAGGTAAAATCCCTTCTGATGGTCCTAATGTCATCCTTGTGACTCCTGTGACCTTTGGTCTCTTAACTATCCAATTCCCTCCTTTTCACAGCAATGTTGCTTTAGCAGGTGACGGGACTTCCAGATTGTATTTTGGGCTCCTCGCCTGGATACAGCTCTTGGAAAAGCCTTTTTGTTTTTAGTGTTTTCATGTGGCTCTTCCTCCTTCTGAAAGGATGCCATCAAGTGTGTGTCTCTCCCTCGCTCTCTCTCTCTCTTTGTCTCTCTCTGTAGCTAATCTAAAATCACGGCAAGTGCTTTCAGAAATGATTTTGTCAAACAAAGGCAGTGGTTATTTGGTGGATTTCTTTCAACTCCTCCTGCACAGTACAGAAATGACTAAACACAGTAGCTTTGCACAGTGTCATTTTTGATTGCAGTACTGTGGCGTTACTGTTTTTCCCCTTGAAATCCAGAGAAATCAACAGTTTATACCCTGGTTTGTCAAATGATGTTGACTACAACAGAGCAACACGGGGACTAGCCATGCACAAATGATTGAAGAGGGACTTGATGGCAGACAAATTGGAAACTAAAGAGCTTTTAAAACATTTGGCACGGCAAGTGACGAAATTGTTTATTTTTCAAACAAACAATTGGATAAACAAAAGAAGCCCTGAATTTTTTTTACACTGAGTTATGCAGAAGGTCAGTGATTTAAGAATGAAGTTCCAACATGCACATTTGGAGCCTAATACACCATGGCTTTCAATCAGTATTTAATAATGTTTACTGTGTAAGAATCTCTTGTGCTTTCTTGACAAACTCCTTGGCCAGCATGTTACAAATTCTATCTTTCCTTTTGTAGGGTGACTTATTGTGCTTTAAAACTGTCCTTTCCTGGTTTTTTTGGTCACTGCTGTGCTTTTGCTGTTCTGCCTTTAAAAGTAGAACACTTTTTTACCAGTTCTTCTTTCTTACAGGTGAAGATTACGAGCAGAGCCCACTGAGGAGAACCTTCAAATCCAAAGTGTTGGCTCACTATCCAGAGAATGTGGAGTGGAACCCCTTTGATCAGGATGCTGTGGGGATGGTTAGTATGCATAACACAATCTGAGAACTTGGACTAAACACAGCCAAATGAGGAAATGTTTTTGTCTCAGTATTGGGACAGAGCTGAATGTTGCTTTGACCGTCCTGCACCCTGGAGTGGTAGGACGTGTGCTTGTCTCCCGATTGCCAGGGTGGGTTACAAGTCTTGTCTGTGCTCTTGTTGGCAAGCACAGGGAAGGAAATGAAATTACAGGTGAGGCCATCATGGCCAATAATTCTGCCCTTCTTATAATGCAATAATAATGGGACACATTTTGTGTGTATGGCAGCAGTGGTTTCAGGATCCTTTAGACTAGGAACATAGGGATCTACAGGATTACAAAATATCATCTCGGCCAATCTAGCCGGTCCCTCCCTCTCTCTCACCGGGATAAATATGCCAATTGTAGAAGCCAACTGTTGCCCCGATCGAATTCAAATAACTTGTCACAGAACTAGAATTAAACTTCTAACAAAGGGTCATGGACCTGAAACGTTGACTCGCTTTCCTTTCTCCATAGATGCTGCTTGACCTGCTGAGTTTTCCCAGCTCTCTCTGTTTTTGTTTTAGAATTAAACTAGAATCAGTCTGGTTTGTGCTCCTGATCTCAGTTGCGTGAAGGAGTGGAGACGTATTCATAGATCTTGTAATCTTGTGATTCCAGTTATGTATTAATTTGGCTCCCTCAACCTGTAGGGTTTATTACACAAATGCTGTTTTCTGTTGTTGCCAACATTAGAGGGATTTTGGGGGAAATTAATTTAAGTGGATGGAAGCTTAGCTCAGTGTTTTCTAAGCTGGTTAGGGTTTGAATCAGTACTGATGGACGGATGCTCACGTTTAAGATGGCCTAATGTACTGTAACCATGTTTCTTTTGCATTCAAGCTCTGCATGCCCAAAGGCCTTGCGTTTAAGACTCAGTCTGACAACAGGGAACCACAGTTCCACTCGTTCATCATCACTCGTGAGGATGGCTCTCGCACATATGGATTTGCCCTCACATTTTACGAGGAGGTGGCCAGCAAGCAGATCTGCAGCGCAATGCAAACCCTGTATCACATGCACAACGCAGAACAATACGACATCCTTTATACCTCATCTACAATCTGCATCAACTCATCTGAGAGTAATTCCGATGACTGTGGTGACCTGCCCACTGGCATAACAAAACTACAACGTTTTAATTCATACGACATTAGCAGGGACACACTCTACGTCTCAAAGTGCATTTGTTTGATTACACCCATGCCTTTCATGCAAGCATGTAAGAAGGTGCTTGAGCAACTCCATCAAGCTGTGACTTCTCCTCAGCCCCCTCCATTGCCATTAGAAAGTTACGTTTACAACATACTGTACGAGGTGCCACTCCCACCAGCAGGGAGGTCTTTGAAGTTTCTTGGTGTTTATGGCTCAATTGTTTGTCAAAGGCCAAGCATCAATGAACTACCACTGTTTGACTTTCCAATCAACGAGATGTTTGAGTTATTGGGCCTGGAGAATGTACTGCAACTCTTCACCTGTGCATTGCTAGAGATTCAGATACTTCTGTACTCGCAACGTAAGTATGCTGTGTGTACCTATTTCACTCCATTTACCCAGTAATTCCTATGAAACACTTAAGACGTGTCCTTTCAAAGTGATGAGGAGCTATACCAAATGCAACAGTTATTATCATCATTATTGTTCATTCATGCATAGCCTGTCACTCCTAAACCGCAGACACGATCTGGTGTTGCCGTTAATTTCAAATAGCCAAATATAGCAGTTATTAGCACATCGTTGGGAGGAGAATGCATTGACATTGATATAAATGAGAAAACACTGTACATTAAACGTCCATAAATTTCACTGTTTGCACACTAGATGGGGAAGATCGAAGCACGTGACAAACCAACATTTAAGTATTCAAGAACAAACAGATGATTGTCTTGGGTAAAGACAGTCTGGAACAAATAATAATGATTGATTTTTTTTAAGAAAAACGGTTTAAAATTTTAATGAGGAAGATCCTATGTTGCTGGAGCTTCATTAGAATCTGACGCCTCATATTGTGCACCATCATTCTGAAGGACTCTGACAACTGACTGATAGCTCTTTGATGGCTGCTAACTGTAGGAAACCATTGATCAATTCTGTCAACACATGTCTCTGAATAATTAGGACAGCTACATTTGCTGGAGACTTTCTTTTTCTAATTATAAAATCAGCTCAGCGGGCAGACTTTATGTGGAGAACGATTTTGAACAAGGGGGAATTTCTCTTCCTCTACTTCTCTTGTAGATTTTTCTTAAAATAAACGTGTTTTAATGCAGTAAAGTGGCTGTCGGCTGCAGAGAGGCAGTGCGGGGGCTGGGGTGGGAATTTGCAGAAAGTGGAAGAAGATTTCAAAACAGTTCAGTTTTGATTTATTTTTATCCTTCGCTCTTTCCAGTGGTATATGCTCCAGGTTCCAAAACCTGGACCCAGGCTTGTGCTTGAGAAGAGATAGTCAGTCTAGTCTAACGTTTCAATGCAGAGCTAGGGGAGCGCTGCATTGATGGAGGTGCCTTCCTTCGGATGAGATGTTAAACCGAATACCGAGCTGCCATCTGCCTTGTTCAGGTGGATGTTAAAGGTCCCACGCACTGTTCAAAAACAGAAGCGAGTTTCTCCTGGTGTCCTAGCCAAGGTTTCCCTAAATATAAAACTGGTCATTCATTTCATGCCATCTCTCTCTTTCAAGCCACTGACCCCTCCCTTGCCTCCTTCAAGACCCATTTCAAGTTCCTCCTCTTCGACCGTGCCTTTGGTCACCCACCTTCACCTACACTCCCTGCCCTCCGCCCCTCCTGATCCCAACCACCAGCTCGGGTACGGATCCCTGACTATCCAGCGCTTAAGGACATCGTCCTGATGTGAAAGGCGCTATACAAACGTAATGTGTTGTTGTGACCTCGTGACCCTATGGCAGTGAAGGTCAGGGCTTTGATAGATGGGCCTGGCTTTTTCCCATGCCTTAAACCTCAGCTAATTCCTCATTTTCTTGGGATTGAAAGTAAAGTGCTAAAAGAAAACCAAAAAAGCTTGTAGCACTCATAGAAGGCTGGACATTAATCATTTTTAATGAAGTGCTTCTCAGACACTGGACCTGGGAACTGTCAGGAGAAAATGAAATGCCGCATTTGTAGTTTTGTTATTCTCAGTGTGAGCGATGTGGTTGGAGCCATTCTAATATCTATTGATTCCGTTTAGTTTGGCTGTGTCAGAATGTGGCAGGAATTCATTTATTCTTTGGGGGTAAATGATGTCAACAATTTCAGATTCCAGCATTATTCTTTTAAACTTGGTGATTTGTACCCCAGTGACTTTTTTTCTCCTTTCTTATTACTATTATGTACGTTCGTACATCCTTGGAGTACACTCTAAAATGAAGTAAGACACAAAAAATGAATAGAAGTGCATACTTGCAGAGAAATCCGATTACTGGACTATTTTACCGAGTGACCTTTTTATGAAAGGCTATTAAAGTTATGGCTGGGAATGCCAATAGAGTTCTGGCTACAATGTTTTCTTTAGAAGCTAGAAAAATATCAAGCTGTTCATGCCAAAGCATTGTCCAACATACTGTCAGCAATGTTTCCTGTGAAGACTCCCTATGGCGACTGAGACCTTCCCTGTCTCCAGTCTACACGTACGTCTGTTAAACTCTGAATACAGATCATTTCCTCACTGTCGTTTTATCTGCTGTGCGCAGTTAGCTGCCAGGTTTTGCCCACAACATTTACAGTCCATTCACTTTGCAGTATATTCTGTGATGCTTTGAAATGACTCGAAGATTTGACAAAAACAGGCCCAAAACACCCAACTTCTTTTAGATATGATTAAATCTCGTGTTGTTTGCACTCTTCAATATTTTCATCATCAGAAAAGAGCTCCCCTTATGGCCAGCTGTGTGCAGCATCACCCGATGTAGCACCGAGCCATATAGATGAGAAGGTCTGTGCTCAGTTAGCTGAACTCAACAACAGTTGTCGTCAACATTTGTGGATTAGGGTCAAAGTCAACCAGAGTTCCTACTGCTGTTTGCTCTTCAGTGATCACCAGCTGGTGGTGCATATGTATGAATGTCAGCTGAGACCAAGGTCTCCGACACATGCGGAAACCCATCATCGTGCTTCGCTTAAGAGTATCCAAACCAAACTGAGAATTCCATGCCATTGATATGTTTTCTCCTCGTGTTTAAATAACCTGTCAGTACTTACATGTGGTGAGTGTTCGTTCACACATGAAGAACAGTCACTTGGACGAAGCCCCCGAGAGCGATTGGCGCCAGTGGAAATGAATTCAATCAAGAAGCCAATGCCTTCAGAAGAGGAGGGGGATGGGAGGAAATCCCTGGTTGAAATATTTGTCAGGGGAAAGGAAAAACGCTGCCAGAAAATTGAATACAGATGACACATCTGGTATGCAGCCTGGAGCCCATTCTGTGAAAAAGCTGTGAGCTGGACAAAAATGAAGAAATTCCTGCAGAATATGTGTGGAATGCACATTTAGAGTTCATGTTCAGGATCACTAATACTGTATGTTGGTGTGCGTGTATGTGAGTGGGGTATGTGGTATGTGCGTGGGTTAGGTTCGCTGTTCAAATAAATTTAGCCTTTTTTGAATTAAATCCAAAAATCTAAATACCGGTGATAATAACTGTGTCAAAAGCAAAATAAGCACTACATGCAAACACAAAGTGTTCTGACATAAAATTTAAGACCTTCCCCGCCCCTCCATGAGTTGTATTGCTCACAAATGTAACAATTTCTAATAAATAAATGCAATTTATAATCTGTCAATCCTTAAAAAAATTATTCCAGTTAATTGTAGATATATTAATACCCCAAATCTGTCAAAATGTGTAATAGCATCAATTTTCATGCAGGCCTATTTGGTATGATGAATTATGTCAGAGTTAATATCCCTGCAGGAATGCTGCTACAGTACACATTTGTGAGGGACATGGTAAAGAGACATTATGTTAATGACTACTGCTTCTGTTCCCCTTACTCATGTGTGAGTTTTGACCATTGCTGTTTGACTCTCTGTCCAGTGTGTGGGTGTGTTTAACTGATATTGCAAAATACAAAGCTGAGGAATTTGTGTTAAATGTTTCAAGGTTTGAGAAGACATAATTTTCTGTGCTCCCTGAATCCTTTTGAATTTGGACAAAACTACTTCATTACCAAGTGGAGTTTGTAATTCCAGCCATTATAAATGATCATTTGGGAAGAAACTAGGGAGCGCTTTGTTTTGGAGTCTGAGATAGCATGCAACTATTTATAATAAAGTGACTGAAGACATTTGTTGGTCGTCTTCCGGAGCTCACAATTGGACATTTTGCTGTGTGAAGCCTTCATCCGTGAATGAGTTAAGTTACAAAGCACAAATGCTTCAGTTCAGCTCAAATCTCAGGAACGTTACCTAAGCTGATGATGATTATTTAAAGAAAAGTGTGATGTATCACACATGTTTCATGATGAAAATTTAAATGTACATGGAAACTAATTTTGCTGTTGTGGGTGACCCAGTTTACACACTGTAATAGCATTTCAAGGTTACTGTGTAACTGGGATGAAAAATGTGAAATATGAATACAGAACTTTATTGCGTTGCTATCCTGAAGGTCTTACGATGTAAATATATATTCAGCAGCTGAGTTACCTATTCAAAAGAGTGCCTTTGAAGACTCTTACGGACCACTGATTTTGTCTTGTAAGTGAACTGCAGTATTTGGTCATCTACTTTGGAAAATCCTCAGCAAGATGTAACACTGCCGATTTAAGATCAGCTGTAGGGCAGCTCATGCCATTTTTTCTCTGGTTCCTAAACCTATCTTTTTGCGACTTGAGGCTCCTTTTCAACCGTGTTAAGGCACCATATTTCAACTCTAGATCCTGCAGTTTCTAATAGAAGCAGCTGCCAATAGTCACTAATCACATGTGTTCAGCGATACCAGGAATTTGCCCAACCTCACTGGACTGGAAGGTCCTCACTGGAGATTCTTGTCTTTACTTGGTTGACATGAAGCAAAGTCTCCTGGTGCAGAGACTATCCAGGAGTTTATTCCGTTTAGAGATCGGTTGATTTACCCGACGTATGAAGATACTGTGCATTCATTTGTGTTGAATTTTTCTCTCCTGAAGAGAATGAGTATATGGATCAGTTGTTTATGGTTCTGCTGCTGTTCAGTGTTAACATCATGTTGAATCATTCTCACGAGGCAGAGCTTCAAACCGGCTTTAAATTTGACTTGTCAACGGGCTACATAAGGGATGTAGGGGAGGGTGGACGACGCACAATCTATTCTATTCCTACCTTTGCTGTCAGAGGCTTTAATTAAAATAAAACCTTTGATGTACGCTGATCAGATGCTGTTACTTTTGTTTGAAAATCTGCACTGAGCCATTGGCTGTCGTTGTTTCCATCTCCTCAACCCATCTGCTGGGGAGGGAAGTTTACCAACGTTGTGTGTGATGGGAGTGATCACGTGACTGGCATTGGTTATATGGATACTTGGGAATTCAGGCGATTGATTTAAAATGTACATTTGAACCCAGATATTGGTGGCTGAGCCTTCATCTACCACCTCCCTCCCTCCCTAAACTCCCTCTTTAAATCCCTCTCTATTTGTCTTTAAAAGACTCGTGAAAACCTATCTCTTCGGTTACTACCTCCTCTCCCTTACCAACCTCCTGCTTGATGTCTGGCAAGTCTCTGTAAAACACTTCGAGACTTTGGCTTATGTTCAAGGCACTGTATAAATGCAAGTTGTTCTGTTTTGCTATTTTTATTTTCCTGCGTGTGGGAGTCTTGGTACACTCTGTACTGTTCAAACTGAAGGATGGCCGATATAATTGCAAGGTTATCAAGTGATGGTTCTTTGTTTGCAAGGATACACAGTCAGTCTGTACTGTGAGAGTGAACATTATCATCCGTACTAAGGTTTCGATCATTGAAAGTTTTGGGGGAGGGAACATTTTGCAAGGCTTTTTGTGAGCTGTTCAATAAAAATGGTAACATTTCTTTAGCGATAGCAACTCCACATTTTCTTAACATTCCCAAGAAAGCGACAACAATCACCCCCTTGCCAGATGGCGAGAGTAGAATAAATCATCTCAATGCCTCGTTTGATTATGGTTTATGATGTTTCTAGATTAAACCTAAGGAATGACTTGACAGTTATGTGTGTGTGTGTTTTTTTTAACCAGATTACCAGCGACTGATGACAGTGGCGGAAAGTATCACTGCATTGCTGTTCCCATGTCAGTGGCAACACGTGTATGTCCCTATCCTTCCTGCATCTCTCCTTCATTTCTTAGACGCTCCTGTTCCTTACATGATGGGTTTACATTCCAATGGGGAGGATGACCGATCCAAACTGGAGCTACCGCAGGAGGTAGGTAATTTTACGTGCATTTAAATACCTCCACACCTGTAACACCTCCAGCTGCAAGAGAGCCATTGCCTGATCTACTAGTGTTTCTCATTAATCTAGGATATTCCTTGGGAAAAAGATTAACAGATGGACACAGCGGTGTGGTGATCAACGATAATCCTTAAAAAAAAACATCAGCCTGAGACACAGGTTTAAATCTCGAGTTCTAAGTGATTAAAAAAAAAGTGAGCAACGTTCAAAATGACTGGAGAGATTGGCAAGGCAAAATGCCACAAAAAAGGGAATCTGCATTTTTTTGTAAAAAAATGGAAGTGTTACGTAATTGACTTCTGTAATTTTCGTGATTATTTTCCCCAATTTATATTGTCTCGCTTGTGAACATTTTCGAAATCACCGTGAATAATAATTCAGGAGTTGCAATGGGACTTGGTCCATCAGATAACCCTGACGTAAATTAACAATGCTAACATTTAAAACGATGCCCGTTAGCTCTGCCTAAGGACGTAGTAACAGATTTCTTTACAGTGCCTGAACACAATCCACTAAAGTCATAATATACCCACGTTACTGAAGAACAATACCTCTTTTATCCCTGGCCAAGGTTATTTCTGGTTAAAGTGTTGTATTGAAAGTGGCCTTGACAATTGAACCTTTTGCAGGAGGCTAACCAATCTGCCTTTTGCAATCTGTGCATTCATTTCCTCTCCTATTTTTAGCTTGGCTTTTAAATTTAGTTGGGTGCGTTATCTCAAAATGGCATGTAGTGGGACGCTGCTCTGCACAATTGGCTGCCCCTTTGGCCCACAACATATATATACAGTCATTACACATTGCGGTATATTCTGTGAAGCGCTTTGAGATGTCTCAAAGACCTGATAAGGCGCTATATCAAATGCAAGGATTATTATTATTTTATTTCTCAATTTGCAGCATTAAAACGCAATGCCTTCTAGTTTTGTCTTAATGAATTGTGTGCATGCGTGTTCGTGCGCACAGATACAGATACTGCTCTGTGCTTTTAAAACTAAGTTTGACTCTAATCGAATGGTCCTGAAACAATTTGCTATTTCCTGGTTCTGATTTGCTTTGTGGCAACCTGCCGCATAGTTCTGTAGAAATGAGTGTACAACTTGTGTACCAGATGGTCTTATAGAAGATATTTGAGCTTTTGGCTGGCTGCCTGTTTTGTTTTACCCTGGGGCAAAACAAGATGTTTTTGTTCACCAAATTCCTTTTGTCAATGCATTCCTTTTCTGTTAATCCTGCTTTTGAAAATGAAGGTGCCTTCTCACCTGCAGATCACTCTGGTCACGACGGGTTTTAAAATCAATTTGCTCTTCGTCTGTGGAGAAAGGAATGGTCTTGCTCAGATGGTGAGGGACGGTGTTTAAACTGAGCCGACTGCTATTACAGCAGCAGCAATTTATATTTATTTTGTGGTTGACAGCAAATGTGTGTGTGCAGTGGGGATGCCCTTGATAAAAGAACAAGTTGATCTGAAATAAATCACTTGTAGACTTCCTCCTTTCCCCTTTGCTTTTAACATCTCCTCTAAATGGAGTCCTGTTAAAGCACAGTAAGTGAGAGGACCCGGGTTAGATTCCTGGCGGAGCAAAACCTTAGGCAAGTTTCCTTACTCCATATGCTTCTGTTTACCTAGCAGTAAGTAGGAACCTGGTTGTTAGTCAATTGCTGGATCGCTTTCTATGGGTGATAATCCCTTAAAAAAGTGTGGTCACTCAATCCACAACTGTGTGCAATTGGGTGCTGCGTTTCGTCTACAAAATATACAGTCAATTCACTTTACAGTATATTGTGTGAAGCGCTTTGAGATGTCTCAATGATGTGATAAAGCACTGTATCAAATACAAGGATTATTATTATTATTAAAAGTAGACAGCAGGGGCACTTTGACTTTTGTTTCTCCGTGAAGGGCTCTGAGTCACCAGTTGTCGTACCCTTGCGGATATCTGTTCCTCAGCACAGAGCAGTGATTGAATTTGGGTCCATTCTTATCTGAATGGTTCAGTGTCACATCGGGCAGTCCATTTACTCTGGCACTGAGGAATATATTGCTTATCCCAACAGTTTAAATGCTAATCTTCCTTCTTGCTCAAAAAATATTATGCTACGTGCGTGCGTGTGCATGTGTGTGTATATTATATGATGTGTGTGTATATATTTTATCTCTTTCAGGCCAATCTCTGCTTTGTAGACATAGACAACCATTTCATTGAACTCCCAGAAGACTTGCCACAATTTCCAAATAAATTGGAATTCATTCAGGAAATCTCGGAGATCTTAATGGCATTTGGGATTCCACCAGAAGGGAACCTGCACTGCAGTGAAAGTGCCTCCAAACTGAAGAACTTTAAAGGCAGAGATGTTTGTGATAAAAAGAATGGAAACCTGGCTGGATCTGCACGCAACACATATGAATTACTGAAGGAGAACGAGACCATGGTCAGGCTGCAGGCTCTTGTCCAAAGGACTGGTGTCAGTTTAGAGAAGGTTAGTTTTTATTTTACACGGTGTGGAGGTGGGGAGCAGAGGGAACTGTTCAAGGTCTCACTGATGGCTCTTGAAGATCTTTGTGATTCTGGGGTGTCAATGGAATGTTTCAGGATAAGAGGGCAATTTATGGTTACACTGGAGGTTGGCTTTGGGCTTGGAGAGTCTAATTTGGCCCATCGAGCCTTTGCTGGTACCAGCTCCACTGCAACTAACCAACTACACAAAAACCCTGGCTTGCCGGACTAATGGGGAGATCCAGTCTGGCAAGTCGTAATTTCTGGCAAAGTGTAATTACGATGCTGTAACAGGCATTTAATGGCTTTGTTCAGTGCCGAAAAACGGCAGTAATTGTTTGAATCCCGCGAGCAGAAGATAAGCAACACAGACACACACCATCGCCCACCACCACCACCATGCAAAGCCTTTATTAGCCAGGTAACAGCATTTTTTTAAAAAACCCACAAGGTTGACAACAGTTCATGGCATTGCCGAGGGCTCAGCTGATTGATTATCTCAGTGTTCCCCGTCGTCCAAACGAAAATCAGCTCAACATACAGTAACATGTTGTCCTGTGATTCAGCAGCTGATGTTTGTAACCGCCTTGAATCTGGTCCGAGATTTAGCTGTTTATCTGACACAAGCATTAATATATTCTGGCCTAATGAAAGATCTTTCTTGAACCACACATAGTCAATCACAGTGGCCCAGATAACTTGAGAAAAACAGCCTCTGCTTTTATCAACACATAGCATTGTACAGCTGTCTTTGTGGGGGAGGGAAAGCTTTTTGAATCTGATCATGAGATTGAGTGTTTTTTTTTACCAGCAATATCAGCCATCCACAAAATGGGTTCCTTGGCAGCTGTCACGAAACCTTTCATTTGTTAATTTTGAGACCCACTGAGACGTTTAAGATCGATTACGCACACCTTTAGCACGATTAGCACAAAGCCTATTTTTAATAAACATTTTTAATCAAAACCTAACCAGGAGCTTTCATTGTGCTCATTTGTTAATTTCTTAAAAGCGAGGGCATCAAAGGAGTAAAGCCACGATTTGTGGAGTCCTGTAGCTTTGCATGCGAGAGACCTGGGTTTGATTCCCAGCAGGGTGAAACTTTGGGCAAGTTTCCTTACTCCACACGCCTGATAATAATCCCTCAAGAAAGAAAACAATAATAAATTGATTATTTCAAACCACGACTGTTTGTGGGACACTGCTGCATTTTGCCCACAAAAAAAATACAGTCAATTCACTTTACAGTCTATCCTGTGAAGTGCTTCTAGACGTCTAGAAGATGTGAAAAGCGCTATATCAAATGCAAGGATTATTATCATTATTAGGTTTTCTTTCTAAGTACACATCCCTGTTCTAGGGAGATAAAACATTAGATAACAGCATTTTGTATCTGAAGACACAATGAAGATAGGTTAAATGCAGGCTGTTGCCCTGCAAACAGGATCTATTTTTATTTGTGTTGGCCTTGTGCACAGCCAGCCTGTTTATACTGATTGAGTTGGGAGGCTAAATTGGCTCTGGCTTTCACACGGTTATGGTGGCTCAAATCCGCCTGGTTGACTGATCCTAGTCCCTCTTCAGCACCCTCTACCGGTAGTTCACAGGTGTCGCAGTAGCTGCCAGAGAAATGGCTGATTTCACAGCTGTCTGTCTGGCAGCAATGAAAGATTATAAATTCAATACCAAGCATTGCATATGTCGTGTCAGGTTTGGTCAGATAATTGAAGCTATCATACTACGTGCTTCGTGCAGTGACTGTAATTAATTCTTATCTCTGACTATATGTCTGAGTGAATATCATTCAACATCCGCAAATTTGGGTTCTTGCTAATTGTTTGTGAAATAAGCTCTGTATGGTTTCACCTCACTCTTTTTATGTTAATTTACTTTTCCATTTATTGACCTTTTATTAAACTAAGTATTGGTAGAATGTTTTTATTAAAGATTGCTGATCTATAAATAGTTTCTTCCTTTTTTTAATGTGTAATTTGGATTCAAATTATAACTTGAAAACATCACTTTCACTACAGCTTTGATGACAAGAGTGGTTCAATTTGATCTCATCATTCTAGAATACCATTCCTATCATCGTCCCATCCAGCAGTCTCTTAAATGGTCCAATCACCCGCCCACAACCTCCTTTCCCAGTAACCTTGTTCCAGCCATTAACCATTTTGTTCATTAGTAATTTAGATAATAATTAATTCCATCTCTTTATGCTCATCGTCGTATTTCACAAACTTGTCTCCTTATTTATTGGTGCCAGAATGCTGAGCTCACAGTACAGTTTCATGTCTTGGGCATGAAACAGTCTAAAGTATTTTGATATGTCATTTCATTTTAATTACCCTTTCTCTCTATATAATTTTCTGCTGTGTAGGAATTTACGTTGTGCAATCAGGAGTTGTTTTAATCCTCAGTATATTGGTATTATTGTAGATTATTTTAGAATTATGTCTTTACAGATTTATTTTTTTCCTGTCCTGTATTGTAAGTTGTAAAAGTATGGTTGTCCGGAAAGGGTGACATTTGCCTGTTTGGTTGCTGCAGTTTGAGGTGAGAGAGGAAGCCAGCAATAACAAAGACATGAAGGTGCACTGTGATGAAGAGGAGCTAAAGGTTCATCAACTGAACATCCAGATCAGGGAAGTCTTTGCCAATCGCTTCACTCAGATGTTTGCAGATTATGAGGTGTTTGTAATTCAGCCAAATCAGGATAAGGAATCCTGGTTCACTAACCGTGAGCAGATGCAGAACTTTGATAAGGTGAGTTAAAATCTTGGGTTGTATTGTTCGCTGTTTGCTGCACAATATATTGCTTCTGTGCTATGTACAACTCTTTAGTGGTATTAAAGATGAATAATTGCACCCCGGTAAGAGTCGGTGCCTTCAGAGAGAAGCATAAAGTGCTGTTCTGAGTAGAACTGAAACACGTTCAGTTATTGTGTAAAGAGTTTAAAGACATTTGACTTAATTTGTGTGTGGTTTGAATGATCACTTCATCTTGTCAAGGCTCACGAGAATTGGAATAATTACAAACTACTGAGGAAATGTTCTAGCTAAGATAGATTTGGAAGATCAAAGTGTCCATTTCAGTGTTGTATGTTCTGGGGACTGAGCCCATCAGTACAAAGTCTATCAACAGAGCTTCTACAACAGAGTGTAATGCCCTGAAGGTGATAATGCACATGCACATATTGTTAGCAGAGCGTCTTCCAGTCTAGCCTTTCATTACTTCAAAGATAAATATTCTCTTCGATCTCCAATTGGGTTTGGGGTAATTGTCATCGCATTTGCTCTGTTCCTTCCTGTTAGGCTTCTTTCCTCTCAGATCAGCCTGAGCCCTACCTGCCGTTCCTGTCTAGATTCTTGGAAACGCAGATGTTCGCTTCCTTCATTGATAACAAGATAATGTGCCATGATGAGGATGAGAAGGACCAGATCTTAAGGGTTTTTGATACCCGAGTGGACAAAATCAGAACACTGAATGTCAGAACACCAACACTCCGAACATCAATGTACCAAAAGTGCACGACTATCGATGCTGCAGGTGGGTGTTGTGGCTAGTTTTCATTGTCTGAATATTCCACGAGGCCTTTATTTCATAACGGCCTTTACATGGGTCGCTGTTTCCTTAAACCATAAGTTCAGTCTCTGCAAAACAGTTAATGGTCCACGAGAAAATTCTGCCGTTTGACAGAAGCAGAGACGCTGCGTATTGTCTGAAATTGTGGCAGCCTCAGTCAGCGTCTCTTGAGAGGTGGGATTCGGTGTTGAGACCAGACCGCCCTTGTAGAAAGTTCAAACGATATATTTAGCATATTAAAAAACACAAGCATAATTAGACAGAGGTAGTATCACCTGGCCAGGGAAACGTTTAGATGTAAACTCAAATGTTCTTTCAGCTAAAGGGATCCTATTGAACAATGTTTGGAACCCAGTACTGATGCTGAACATAGTTAATGATACATTGGGACTGAGCTTTCTTTCCTCCTGTTTGGAAGGATTTCCTCTCTAAATGGATCTTCAGCTAAATGCTAACCAGCGAAAGGCATGAACTGCACAGGACTTACAATCCAGTGTTGTTATTTTAAAATCTGCGTTAAAGGCTTTAAAGTGAAGAGAGCACATAGATTCTGGCATCTAAATAAGGGATTGTTTTATCGCTTAATCCGAGATCCAGTCCAGACAAGGCCTAGAGAACTGGACCTTGTTTCTATCCCGTAGACTAGCTACTTACTTTAAATGGCTTTCAAATGTGCAAATTCACAGGATTTACTGTTCGGAAGTCTTCCAATTCATGGCAATTTTGTTACTGTTTTGCTGTTTGCAGATGCACAATTAAAAAAGAGGTTTGAAAATATTGACATATTTGCTCCATCTCCTCGACTTGTTGGAACGGAGACCTGCAAAGCAGATCTTAGTAAATATTCAGGTTTTGTTTGTTTTTGTTCGTGGTGATTTTATCTTCTGAACTTCTTGTGCTTGCTTTTCTTTGAATCATGAAGAAGTTGCTAAAAGTTTCAACCGAGTTAGAGGTTTCAGGATTTGTACACCCCATTCACACCATCCCTCTAATTTCCGATTTTAAACTGGATTAGGAGCCAAATGGGTATTACATTGTAGTTTTAAAACTGATGCTGTTATTTCAATAATAATAATAGTAATCCATGTATTTGATATAACGCCTTATCACATCGTTGAGATGTCTCAAAGCGTTTCACGGGATGTACTTTAAAGTGCAGTGACTGTGTATTTTGTGGACGAATGCGGCAGCCAGTTGCACAGCAATGTCCCGCAGATAGCCATGGGGTGAGTGATCAGTTTTATTTGGGGGATTGTTGGCCGTGACACCAGGAGAAACTCCCTTCTCTTTTTGAATAGTGTCACGGGATTTTTTAACGTCCACCTGAACAGACAGACAGGACCTCGGTTTAAACATCTCATCCGAAGGACGGCATCTCCGACAATGCAACACAGCTCCAGTACTGCATTGGAGTGTCATCTTGAGTTCAGGTCCCGACGTGGGATTGGAACCCACAACCCTCTGACTCAGGGGAGAGAGTGCTACCACTGAACATCTTCCATCTCCTCTCCCCACCCCCCACCCCTCCCCCAAGCCCTGGGAGCTCAGGCAAATTTTAGTATACTTAAAATCACAGTTTATTCCAGCCCTCCACACTGGTAATTCTGTTTCTCTCTCTGCTTTCTCTCTCTCTCTCTCTCTCTCTCTCTCTCTCAAAAATGAAGACCTTAAATGTGAAAAGAAACAAAATTCTTCTGGATAACCTTAAAGTTGTGATGGTCTATCAGGGTTTGATATGATAACGGTGATGGGCACTTCTCTGTCTGATCGTTTCACCTGGGCACTGATTCTTCTGGAAGCAATTCCAAGGCCTTTGGGCGAAACTAATTTTCCGCTCTTACAGCTCGGACCCGAAAATGCTAACTCTGTGTTTTCTGCCGACACTTCGATAGGAGAAAGTAACCCCAAAAATGCGTTTGTTTCTGCAGAGAAGGCAATTGAACTGAGACTTGCAAAGATTGATCACACTGCAGTGCACCCTCACCTGCTGGATATGAAGATCGGGCAGGGGAAGTACGAGTCTGGATTCTTCCCCAAACTGCAGGCAGATGTTCTTTCCTCATCTCCAGCTAGTAACAAGTAAGTGACTCACTAGTTTTCTCCCACTGCTTTTACCTGGGCTGCCTGTGCTCGGACTTTTTTTTCCACATAGGCTTTTTGTATATTTTTAACCACTGTATTGAGACAATCTTCTCCATACCTTGCTGCTGAATCCTAAAAATAATAACTCCTACATTTGAAATAGTGCCTTTCACATTGGGAGGACGTCTCAAAGTGCTTCATGGGATGTACTGTCAAGTGTAGTGACTGTGTACTTTGCCTGCAACACATAGTCACTACACTTCACAGTACATCCCACGAAGTGCTTTGAGACGTTCTCCTGACATGAAAGGTGCTGTATCGATCGCAAGGATTGTTATTATTATCCTTATTATATTGTAGGTCAGGGTGGTCCAACCTTTTGGTTGCTGAGGGCTGGATGCCCAATTTGAGAATGGTTCGCAGGTTGCTTAAGCAATATTTTTGTGTTTCCCTTCCAGAAATATAACATTTACTGGTTATGGAGGGAGCAGGTAGGCCAGATGAAATGGAGGAGTGGTGGGGGGGGGGCGGGAGGCGCGGGTGAGACCTCCCTCTTGTAGGTAAACGTAGCTACAATAACTGTGTAATTATCCATCATAGGAAAGCCACAATTTAAGTTCTTTGCTGGACTGCTCCTGCTTTTGACCTCCTGCCAGCTACAAACATTGCGCCCCCTCTCTCTCTCGTGTCTGATTGCTCTTGGCTCTTCCATCCGAGAAAGTTCTCAGTTATTCTCTAGCCAGGAATCGATCCTAAGGGAATCGACCAGACAAATTGATGGGAACAATGTTTAGAACAGAAGGAGACGGGACACTGTCCACCTGCTGCTCCTGCGTCATTCATCAAACTATAAGAAAGATTGATTTGAAGTGTTCGGCTCTGCTGTGAAAGCATAACCCTGATCCACAGCCCAGCGCAACAGGACGACACCTAATTCCTGCAGGTTAAACCTGTGTGTGTGCAATTGCTGAACGAAACAAGTATTTCAGCGCCTCCATTGTAACAATTGATGCAGCTCTACCCTCGACCTGTCCTTCTTTGGACCCACTCACTATTCCATAGCCAGCAGCGTGTGTCTGCCAACACCTGTCAGTCTATCAGTTTTATTTTCTCGCTGGGCTGCTTTGCCAATGAGGTGCATCAATGTACAGAGCAAACCAGTTGATGTGTCGTATTGGCAACCAGAGGCGTTCGTCTCTGTGAAACTCGACTAAACAGTAAAGTAATGACTCGAGCCACAGCACCACAGATAATAATAATATTAATCTTTGCATTTGATATAGCGCCTTATCACATCTTTGAGACGTCTCAAAGCGCTTCACAGAATATACTGTAAAGTGAATTGACCGTGTAAGATGATTGACACGAGAAACGTAAGTCTGAAATTAAGCTGAATTGTGAAATCTGAAGGACATAATAATAATAAATAATATTCCTTGCATTTGCTGTAGTACCTTTCACCTCAGGAGGATGGCTTCACTACAAAGTGTAATCACCTGTAGGTGAACCCAGCAGTCAATCATTTGTCAGAGCCAATTATTTGGGAGATTGTTATCAGGATAACAATCAAAGGAAATAGCAAGTTAAGATGGCTGGGGACGTGGGCTTTTGCTGCTTTACTGCATCAATCTATGGTGAACTATTCAGTATATCATAGCTATATTGTAGCTCACTCAAATGTCTGTTCTTGAAAACTTCACACCTCTCACCCTCGTAAATGGTTACTTTCAACCAGCTGGTTATGGAGCGGAGGTTTGAGAGCAGGTCTTCAGCTTAATCTCTTCCTCCTTTTGGGCTGAGGTGAGGTGGAGACGAGGTGGAGTTGACCTCAATGGGGAAAGAGAGAAAATGCAAAATACTTTGTGTGTGTGCGCGTATGTGTATTAAAAACAGCCTCGCACAGAATAAGTCTTGGAGTGCCAGCAGCTAACAGCTGCATATGTGTTGGTTGCTGTGTCTCAGTGCAGTGCTGGAGATCTCCGAGACACTATCCTGCACGAAGAGTACTGTATAAATCCAAATTGTTGTTATAGTGTCTGTAAGGTGGGTGAATAGAGTGTGCAGTGCAGTGCTGTAATGAGTTATCATCTGTGTAAGGTGGGTGAAGCGGAGTGCACCAGCTCAGTGGAGGCGGAAGGACCGACAGAAGCAGCACACAGAACACCTGCACCTAGACAACGACCAGCGAGAGGTCAGTTGGTGTTTTAATGGACAATCCCGTCACTTGTGTCTCGCGGTTGATTGACATCTGGGCCTGACTTACATTGAAACCTAACAGATCTCTGGTTGACGGGACTGTGTCATAGCTGTGCCCAGGTCAGTCGCTTAACACGATTGTTGCACCTAAACCAGGAAGTAGAGTGAGGAACACGTGTGCTGTTTTGGGGTTTCACCCATCAACACTTGATCCTCTCTTTGATCTGCTCGCTGGGTTCAGTACAGGCAGCAATATGTGTAGCAATATGTTGACCTCATCATCTTGAGTTTGGGTGGGGGAGAACATCAGTGATTGAGTCTCTATCCAGCGATTTTCCCCCTCAAAGCCCTTTTCTGAAAGTGTTTTGTGACGGTTTACTCTAACGCGCTGGAGGTTTTTCTTCATTGAGATCTATCATGTAGCGATTACTAAAAGTGGTGATCTTTACTGCACTTGCTGAATATTATTTGTCACTTCAAACCTGTAACAAAACGATTGCTGTTTTTCGCAGTGGACTCGTGATAGATCCCAGTGTCTCACCAATTCTCCAGTTATCTGTTTTAATGAGTTGACCTCTGAAACACTGCCTGATGGTCTCACAGCTCCCACTATGGTGCACTGATGGGAATGCCGTGTCTACTTTAATTTGCAATGGTTCTGATTCACAGCCAGTTTACGAATTCTTCGATTTTTTTCTTTCTCTCTCTTCAGTTTCACTTTTAGAGTACGGCTAGTTCTGTTTATCGTACCTGCTTTCTGTGATCATACAAACTTTCAAGTTGTGCTCGTTTCTGGTTGTCTTAATTCGGTTGTACGTTGGTTTGTGTTGCTTTACTTCTTCGCATTACTTTCTGTGTGTTACTCTGGTTGTTTGTCTCTTGCATGATTGCTGTACCATCAGCGTGTGGATTATCTCTCACCTGAACTGGAGATCGTCTTGTATTTAGACTCGGACAGGGACAGCCAGGCTACTAGGACCTCTGTAAAATCCATGTCTGAATTTTTTCTGGTATGTTACAGGGTCTAATGTGCTCCTCAGTCAAGTGCCTGTCTGCGTGTTCCTCCTCATCACATCTATTCCTCCGCACGCTGTCAGCAAACCCACCCAGCTGAAATGGTCTTGGTTGAATAATTACAGAAATCATTATTTGTGTGTGTGTGTGTGTGTGTCTCTCTCTTTCTGCTCATTAATGTGAGGGATAATTATTGAGACATTGAGTGTCTTTCCACACAAAGGCATTACAGCATCTCTGATCTGATGATGTTAAACCAAGCTGCCACTTGCCGGTTTTATTGGTTCGGGTGGTTGTTGAAGAGGCAAACACACTGTTTTGATGACGAGAGGGGAGTTCTCCAGATATCCAGGCCAATATTCCTTGTGCACCAAAATTCACCAACATTGATACTGCTCCCCACTCCACACACACACACACACACATGCACACAAGAGATTAATTGTTCATTCATCTCATTGGCGCAAATTTGCTGTAGTGTATGCCTACATCAAGGTCATTATACTGCAAAGTGACTTGATGCGTGAAGCACTTTGTGGCATTGCATTGTGATAAGGCACTGTGTCAGACACACACGGATATTACTTATTTGTGATTCCCTTTTATCTTATTTACAGAAATATATACAGGAAGCTCGGAATCTTGGAACCGGCATGCGGCAGCCAAAGCTTTCCAACCTTTCCCCTTCAGTGATCGCACAAACCAACTGGAAGTTTGTTGAGGGTTTGTTAAAGGAATGTCGGAATAAGGTAATTGTATGATCACAATCCTAACCCAATGTGCAGACGTGGTTTCCTTGTGTGATGAATGGGCTGTGGGTTGGTCTTGATCACTCAGTATGTGTGTATGTGTGTTTTTCCACCACAGACTAAGCGCATGTTGGTGGAGAAGATGGGGAGAGAGGCGGTGGAGCTGGGTCATGGTGAGATCAACATCACAGGAGTCGAAGAGAACACACTGATTGCCAGTCTCTGCGATTTGTTAGAGAGAATATGGAGCCATGGGCTGCAGGTCAAGCAGGTAAGTCACCAGGAGTCACAGCATTAGACTAACTAGTCTGCACTCAATGCTTCAAACATTTATTAATAAGGACCATTCTTAAATGCAGAGACAATGTTCTTCAAAACATATAATGCAGTGGGTGGAGGAGAGGGAGGCATTCATTCATCCTTTCACAAGTTTCTTCTCTTCCCTTTTGTAAGCTCTCTCTCTCTCTCTCTCTCTGCTTCACCCACCTTGCATTTGATATTGAGCCTCATTACGTTGTTGAGACCTCTCAAAGCGCTTCGCAGGATATATTGTAAAGTATATTTAGTGGGCATTTGCGCATAGCAATGTCCCAGAAAAATTCTTAAAATAAAAAATGAAACAAATGTGATGTATTTTTAATTCATTGTCTCTCTGAAGCATAAAATATTAGTGAGTCCGGCCATACAGAGCCGAGTGTGTAACATGTTACCGTGAGTATGTGTACAGTTGGATCTTTATTTCTGTCCAGGGTAAATCGGCTCTGTGGTCCCACTTATTACACTATCAGGAGACGAAAGAGAAGAAAGATGCCATCTCAGGTGGTACCAGCAGCTCAGGTGGGGATTTATCATTACCTGTGTTTAATAATAATAATCCTTGCATTTGATATAGCGCTTTCCACGTCTTCTAGACGTCCCAAAGCGCTTCACAGAATAGACTGTAAAGCGAATTGACTGTATATTTGTGGGCGAACGCGGCAGCCAATTGCGCACAGCAGTGTACCACAAACAGTCGTGGATTGAAAATGACCGATTTATTATTGTTTTGTTTTTGGAGGGACCATGTGTTTAATTGTAGGAACACAGATATGCCATGCATCTTACATTTAACTTTCTAAAGTAAGCTTTGGGTGCAATATCTTAATTGTAACTTTAAATTTGCCTTTCTTTTTTTAAACTTTATATTTGGATCATTTGCACTGTACAAGTGCCTATGGCACTCTCAACTCACCGCTTGGAGCCGATAGAATACAGTGTGTTTGCTATCCCTGCACATCTCCCTTTATATCCTGCTTCTCTGTTGCACTACCCTAACCCTGGAGTGCTTTGATTGTTGTGTTCATCAAATTAATGGGGGCTGACTTGAATTTTTCCCCCAAAAAATAAAATTTGTTTTTGTTTACAAATAAACATCTTGACGGTCTCAGTTGCATTAAAACGTTCTGTGAGGCTAGAGGGTCCAAGATATGCTAGATGCCCAACCGTGATTTGACTTCATATGTGTATCTAGCCAATGAGTTCCTGCAGGCTTTTGTACTTTGAGATCAGTAAATATATGTGTGTTGCATTGTTTGCACTGCATTCCACTTCGCTGCTGTGTTGGATTGGGACCGTGTCCAGTGATAAATAAATGCAGTTGATATCAGCTGAGAGAAAGTGTTGGATCCCGAAAATTATTAAATAGATTCAGCACCCAAATAGGTTACAATTCAAAGCAACTCCCTTCACGTGTGTATTGCTTCCCTCAGGAACGATCCACGATCAAGAAAGAAGGAAATCAGATGTCAGCCTTGCCATGCCTCCCCTGAAGATCTCAGTGACCCAGGACATGAGGTGGGTAGAGCCCATTATTATCCTTGGTGTCTTTTTTGTGGGGGATTTGCTGAGTGTCTTGACACGTGTGGAAAACCATCACTGTGATTAATACTAAACCAAACTACTGAAAGTTCCGCATAAGCGTAGAAATTTCTGTTTGTCTGGAATAAAATGGAATCTCTCTCTCTCTTTCTCTTTGTTTCTGTCCGTGTGTCTCTCTGGAGGGTCACACTCTGCACACCTCGTCTACAAAAATATTGGGCGTAGTTGGTAAGAGCCGAGGCATTGGGATCTCAGAGTGTGCATTGCGATACCACGTAAAAGAAGAAGGATCATCACCTTGGGCCGTGAACTATCTCAGTGCACCCAGTCAATCTGATTCCCAGACAGGGTGAAACCTTAGGCGTGTTTCCTTGCTCCACGCCCCTCTGTTTACCTAGCATTAAGTAGGAACCCGGTTGTTAGTCGATTGGTAGATTGCTTTCGGGGGTAATCATCCCTTCAAAAAAAAACAATAATATTAATAATTTGGTCACTCAATCCGCCGCTGTTTGTGGAACACCGCCGTGTGCGATTGGCTGCGGCGGTTCTTCTACAAAATTTATACTTTACAGTATTATTTCCGTGAAGCTTTTAAGGCGCCATATTAAATGCAAGGATTATCAGAGCACCAATAACACCTCGACTATACAACGACGCCAGGGGTTCATTTTAGATATCCAAGATACGCCACGCAGCAGCCAGCTGGACAGCTGCAAGCGAACCTGAACGCCTTGGAGGGCAGTTTAAAACCAAAGTTGCAACAGCGATTGGAAAAAAAGCTACACTGTGCCACCTGCTGGGTGATGGTTCCGAGTGCTGTGAGCAGTCTCGTACCACATCGTAAGGTTTCAGCTCCCATCTTTTCAGGTTCGTCTTATTTGCCCCGGGCAATCGAGTTAAAACTATATATTCGGTTTTGCAATGATAATTATAATCATAACAACACATTCAATTGCATTTTTCAACCCCAAATCACACAGAATAGAGTTGTTTAGGGGGTTGGGGGATGTCTAACCCTTTATTGCTATTGAACCCTTCCCATCTGTCTGTACAATGTGATTTTCCTATTATAAACATGGCATAAAATGTTCCCCAGCAACAGTGAATAATAATAGATTGTGGTAAGATTTTAAATAGTTAAATGCAATTTTCATGCAATTGCATAAATCATGTCACTTTTGTAGAAAACATACACATGTTTGCATTACCATCTTCTTTTTTTTATTAGGTTTCAGATGAACTTTGTTCTAATAATTTGCTTTCTTTAACCAATTATTTTTGGCTTCTGTGGAAAAACAGGCCTTGAAATAAACACTGAGTTGATAAGAATTTGGCAGAATGCTGCACAGTTTTAAATGTTAAGGTTACGGTCTCTTAAAGTGAAGGCTTGATTTCTCTAATGCCCCCCCAGCAGCAAGTTCAACCCTCCATAAGCTCCAGATCATCCAGAACTCCGCAACCTGTAGACTTTCCTGCACTCGGCTCCATAAGTCCCATCACTCCCATCCTCCCATTGAGTCAGCTTAGTCAAACCTGGCCGTGATGAATAATAATAATCCGTGCATTTGCTATAGTGCCTTATCACGTCTTTGAGACGTCTCAAAGCGCTTCACAGAATATACTGTAAAGTGAATTGACTGGACAAATCGCGACAGCCAATTGCGCACAGCAGTGTCCCACAAACAGTCGTGGATTGAGTGACCAATTTATTATTATTTTTTGAAGAAATTATTACTGCTGGAAAAGCGATCCGCCAATTGAATAACAACCGGATTCCTACTTACTGCTAGGTAAACAGAGGCTTGTGGAGTAAAGAAACTTGCCCAATCTTTCGCCCTGCCGGGAATTGAACCCAGGTCTCTCGCTTGTGAGGCGAGTGCTCCAATCACTCAATTACAGGACTCCACGTATAATAATAATAATAATCCTTGCATTTTATATAGCGTCTTATCACGTCTTCGAGATGTCTCAAAGGCTGAGATGGTTGAGGATCTCGGCGGCCTGAGGGAAGAGGCAATGGTGGAGGCAGGCAATATTGCAGAGGTGGTGGAAGGCAGAACGGGTCACAGCGTGGAACCAGAGATGTAACTGGTTTGATTTCAGACCATTTTTGACTTTGCAGCTTCTTTCTGTGTAGCATTGTGCTTGTGCCTTTGGCTCTTTGTTTCCCAGTGCGATTGATGGGACTTGGGGAGCCTGGTGCAGGAAAGGACATTCCTCCGGCTCTTTCTTCCCCAGTGGATTAACTTTAAGATCCTCCTACTGGTGGTTCAGCTGCCCTGGCACTGAGCCCAAGTGCTTGTTTATGTTTTGAGCCCAGGTAGTCAGTGTTGACAGGCTACTCGACCACATGTGATGGTGGTGTGTGGGAGGGGGGAGGAAGACTGAAGTGTTATTGTCATTTTCAAGAACCAGTCAGGCAACGCTACTGTTAAGTGCTCTGAGACGCTACCCTGCGTGGAGGATGCTGTACAAGTGCAAGTTGTTGTTGTCATGTCAAAGAAAGCAGCTTCTGTGTGATATCTGAATTAACCTACCCTTACTTGGCTGGTCAGCTCCAATCTGAATCAAAGTCCATCCACTATGGAAGGTGCAATGTAACACACCAGGACACCCTTCAGCAGAGGTCACTTGCAGCTCACTTCCTTTGAATTGCGTTTTGTCTAATCTGCTTTGTGAGGAGATGCTTCGCTTGTCTCACTGCTGCCTTGTGTCGGTCACCAGCTTCACGTCTTGTTACATCATCCCTTCCTCCACAGCACATCAGGAGCTCCAACCTGCAGAGTCGGCAGAAACCCTTGTGCCGTTCTTCACCGCATTCGTATTCTCTTTCTCTCTTCCCCCCCTCTCTCGCTCTCTACTCAATGTCATTGTCTACCAGAAAATTCCATGGCATTTGCAGATGCATTTAGGGAATGCTGACGCTTTGAGACATCTCAACAACATGTCAAATGCAAAGATTATTATTATTATTACTGAGCCTCCCACACCCCCCCCACCAGGCACCTTTACAGCGCTCTGCATTAGAGTTGGGGGGTGGGGTGGAGGTGGGGGGTTGGAGAGGAAACTATTTACTGGGCAGATTTTCCATTACTTCCGACCTAGTTAACATTAACACTGCAGAGATATGAATAATGGATGTTTGAGTCCATTTCTCTCGTGCACTTCAGGTCTTCCCTGCTGAGCGCATTCAGTGCCCACTTACTAGAGCGGTTGGTCGTGACATTGAGGGAGGTGAGGGAGGGTGTGGTTGTTTCAGTCTCTGTGTTGGGCTGTGCAGGGCAGACAACATGCCGTTCAGCTACTTTCTTACATGGATGTAGGTTGTTTCTGTTTGTCGGATTGCTAGGTGGAGGCAGAGGAGGAGAATGTGTTTTTTTGGGGGGGTGGACGAGAGAAAATCAGACAGTGGAATGGACTGACAAAATTCCATCTTGATCTTTTGAGTGCGTCCTGTACTGTCATTCACCTTGTGGCTTGTTTGTGGGACTTTGCTGTGCACAAATTGACCTCCACGTTTGTTCATCACTACACTTGTCAGCAATGACCTGTGAAGCTCTTTGAAATGTTTTCGACATCATATTACGTGGAAGGATTTTGCCCCCAAATCACACAGTGAATCCACTTTCCAATATATTCTGTGAAGCGCTTTGAGACATCTCAATGACGTGATAAGGTGCTATAATCAAATGCAAGGATTCTTATTATTTTTAAGGATTATTATTGGAGCTGAACATTATCTTGCAGTCCTGTATGAACATTTGAAAGTAACGCTTGCAATCGGAAGGTGCTTCTTATCAGTTTGTTATAATATAAACAGCTGTGCTGCTGGGATCAGCTCTGTGTTGGGGGAAAGATTATAGATGAGTTAAATGTCTGCGGGCAGCATTGCTGAGGGAGGCTTTACTTTGTCACAACTCTACACATGTGTCCTAATTAACCCAACAGTCTTTTCTGTGACACTTGGATATGGCTGACATGATAGTTATGGGAACAGTTGAGCTGACGATTGTGAAAGTTTAGATATACAGTGACTGGTTGCCATTGCTGCCATCAAGTATGCAATTCAATCACAGAAATGGGGGGTAGTAAGCCAATGTTGTAACTCATAAAACAGAACCACACTATAATAATAAGAATAAATAATCCTGCATTTGATATAGCACCTTTTATCAGGAGGACAAGTCAAAGCATTTTACAGGATGTACTGTTAAGTGTATGATTGTGCATTTTAAGGCAAACGCAACTGCCAGTTTGCGCACTGCGATGTCCCACAAATAACCTGAAGTCAGTGATCAATCTTATCTGGGAGATTGTTGGCCAGGACACCAGGAGAAATTCCTTTCTCTTGTTGAATAGTGCCGTGGAATCTTTAACGTCCACCTGAACAGGCAGGTGGGACCTCGATTTAACACCTCATCTGAAGGACGGCACCTCCCTCCGACAGTAATACGTTTACTTATAATGCTGGTTTGCTTACAGTGCGATTCGGGCGTGAACCCCGACATTACTGTTCACCATAAATTAAGTGGCCTTGGGCTGGCTTGCTTGTGTTCACAAGAGATGCAATTTACATTTGAAGTGTCATGTTGCTGTTGGTATTTTTTCACTTGTTGCAAGATATTTTTATCTTGATTGCTGTGGTTTTTTTGGGGTCTTTATCTCCTTTGACTGACCTGCAGAATCTACAATGCACAATCTGGGCAAGAGTCCAAACCCCAGTTGGAGATCATAGAACTGGGCAAAACATGCAGCGAGTCAGGGGATCTGATGGATTGCCTTATCGTCTGAATCTTTTCCCTTCCAGGCACATCCAGAACATTGGTGAGATCAAAACTGATGTAGGCAAAGCACGAGCCTGGGTGAGATTGTCCATGGAAAAGAAACTGCTATCCCGGCACCTCAAACAACTCCTCTCAGACCAGGAGTTAACAAAGTAAGACAGAGTACAGTATAGCGCTCAGTAACTTGTGGTACATTTTACAGCTGTGTTTCTCACCCATCAGTCAAAAACTGCAGCTCATCCCTGATAACCTCATAGCCGGTCCATAATAATATAATAATAATACTTGCATTTGATATAGCGCCTTGTCACGTCTTCGAGATGTCTCAAAGCGCTTTACAGAATATACTATAAAGTGAATTAACCTTATATTTTGTGGGCAAAACGAATTTGCCCACACCCGAATTCAATTTAGATAAGTGACCTGACAATCTCAAATACCAATGGTTCACCACATTTTAAGAAGAAACAAAGCTGGTCCCTGGTATCATACTTTGAGAAACACTGTCAAACAAGCATCGCTGCCAGAATCATGTACTTGCCATCCAATGTACACTACAAATGCAACATTCATGTCTGCTGTGTGCAAATTGTCTGCTGCGTTCGCCTACCATAACACACAGTCACTTGCCTTTACAGTCAGAGCGCTTTGATACACCCTCCTGGTGTGAAAGGCGCAATATCAAATGCAAGTATTTTGCAGACTGGAGAGTGGCCGTAGCATTTGATAACTTGCACTCACGTTCTGCATAGTCGAACCTGAACGTTTGTGAAAGCAGCAAGTTCACAGCTGAAAGACAGACGTGTGTAAACCTCTTTTTGCTGATTGTCGAGACCAAGAAATATTGGGAAAGGAGCCAAAAAAAGCTTTTTAATTATGATAGACAACAGCAATGAACCTGAGTTGTGCTGCTTTTCAATGAGCCACACATGTTCTATCTGATCTATCAGGAATTCAGTATGTCCTCATACAACACACATTTGCTTTGTAGCAATGCACACATGCTATTACTTAATACAGAGATTAAAATTGTCTTTACTGCTTATTCATTCATTGTGAATAGAATCGGATTGTTTTACAATTCACTCGGGGTGTAAACTAACAATTTAACTGCTAGTGATGTGTTTCTTTATCTGAACCTGTACAGTGTAAGTTCTCTTCTGTATATACAAAATATTAAAAACTGTTGAAGCTTCCAGTGTTTCCTTCTATCGGCACGAGTCTGCTGACATTCTAAAGTGGGCCAGTCTGTCTGACTGTGATCATGTTAAATAATCCATGGTGCAAGCTGCTGCATTTCATTTATTCATAGTGAGAGGCTGAAGGGAACTGGGTCATGCCTGTCTGGTAGCTTTGTGATTGTTAGATGCCTGGGCACTGAAGGCAGGGAGAACACAAATCCTATTTGTCTGAGATAATGGTGAATGACCCTTCAGTGACTGGGTGTCACTCACCCACCCACCCATCCACTCACTCATGTTTAAATAGTATTTATTTTATGATATATATTTTTTTCTTCTTCTGTATAACCCACACTTGATTGTTCATTTCAATACAACTAAATATTGTTTGCGGTTAAGAATGGTGTTGGGGTTTACACACAGACAAACTTCCTCACCACAGTGTTGCAATTGGCAAAATGCATTACCGGCTGCTCTGTCTCATGGTTTCCTGAAACGTGTAATGTTCTTCTTTTGAATGATTCTTTTTCCTTTGATTTCAGAAAGCTGTACAAACGTTACGCCTTCTTGCGCTGTGATGATGAGAAGGAACAATTTCTTTACCACCTCCTTTCATTCAACGCAGTGGATTACTTCTGCTTTACTAACGTGTTTACAACCATCAGTAAGAAACTCTTGTTGTGTGAAGTGACTTGTTAACCCGCTATCTCGTTTCGTCACAAATTATACTCGTTACAGTGTATTCTGTGAAGTGCTTTGAGATGTCTCAATGACATAATAAGGGGCTATATCAAATGCAAGGATTATTATTAATCGCAGTTGAGAATTGATTTTTGATCAACTCAAAGAATCTTTGAGCTTCATTGCCTATATTTCGTCTATGGTATTGACTCTCAATGTGGTTCATTACTGGGATCAATACATTGGTATTTATAGAGCTGATGTTTTAAGAAAACCTTTGAAATCCAATATATCAGACTGGTGTACCTTAGTTTGTTTCTGAGAAATCCCAAGTAATTTTTTTAAAAAAATCATATGGCATCTTGAAACATATTCAGAAAATTTAGCATTGGAATTTCCAATGACAGAGCAAAACAATGTCCCAGAAATGTGGGAATATTTAGGGTCATAAACAACCACTGCAGTACATCCGACCAAAAGCAAAGTTCAAAGAATACCACACAATGATGCTCTTTGTTATAATCCTAAATCTTTTCTTTTACTTAAAAATCTACTTTTTATCTACTTTTTAATTTGCTTTGGGACTCAAAAACTAAGCGTAGTAGGGCTAGGACAAGACAACTCACCAGTGGCTATGATGTGGCTTCGGATATGTTGTCCTCTTACTTTAGTTTCCAAAATAAAGCTATTTGGATGTACAATAAAGAGAAACCATAAATAAGGGGCAGGACAAAGACAGACTGCACTTTTTGTGCTCTGCTGGTAAGGTCATTGCCGGAGGCGGGTTTTATATTGATGATTTGTATCTTACAGTGATTCCATACCACGTGCTGGTGATTCCCAGTAAGAAACTGGGTGGCTCCATGTTTACATCTAATCCCTGGATCTGTATATCAGGAGAACTGGGGGAGACGGGCATCTTGCAGGTGCCTAAGAGCATCCTTGAAATGACATTTGAGGTCAGCACAAAGTACCAGCATCTGTTCAGTACGATTGTTCTTTGTAAATATTTTTAACGTTGATCCTTTAAATGGTGTATTATGAAGTAAGTACAATCTTTATCAATTGTGCCTTTGTCTCCTCTCTCCCTTGTACGGTTTTGGGTGCAAACTCCTTGTGGGACTGATTTTCTAACTGAGGGGGAAGGCTTGATAACCCTTTCCTGGGTTTCTGCCTGAGCCACCTTTCAGCCATACACAAGCAGGTGCTTGAGAGTGAATTTGTCCTTTCGCCCCATACCTCTGAGATAGTGCCAAAGGCACTTTGCTTCTACCTAATGCTTCCTCAGAAGACCTACTACCAGAATTGCCGTCCAGGGGCTGCCGCTTCTAATTTACACTGCAATCTTCATTATCTTTATAAGAAAACATGTCCAGCTGGTGCTGCATTACGGTCAGATTTGAGCTCTCGGCCTATGTCCATTGGGAACTGCCCAAAACTCTCCTTACTTGGGACTCGAGCAGCTGTCAGTAGGATGAGATTTCCTCATATCTCTCTCTGAAACGGGATTCGGACCCTTGTTACAGGGGTGACAGATGGTCTGCTATCTGATGCCCTGCTTGATTCAGAAATCCCTTCACCTGATCTAAAGCTTTCAGCACTGCAGTAAACTTAGGATGGGTTAACCATTATACAGTTTTAATTTAACGACCTCCAGTATTGTCTTGGTTGTAACTCACATGGGTTAATGATATAGAAAACAGCCCCAGCTCTGATTGTTGATTGCAGTGTACTGAGCATAAAAGATCTCCTAAAGACACATGAGTTACGTAATGGGGTAAATTCCACAATTGGACATCATGTCTGTTATCCTGCGGAACTTTTAAATATATAAACATTTAAATAGTTTCCTTACTCCACACGCCTTTGTTTACCTAGCAGGAAGTAGGAACCCAGTTAGTCAATTGGCGGATCGCTTTCCGGGGGGTAATAAATCTCTTCAAAATAATTTGTTCACTCAATCCACGACTGTTTGTGGGACGCTGCTGTGTACAATTGGCTGCCGCGTTTTGCCCACAAAATACACAGTCAATTCACTTTCTAGTATATTCTGTGAAGCGCTTTGAGATGTCTCAGTGACGTGATAAGGCGCTCTATCAAATGCAAGGATTATTGTTAATTCATTAATGACATGGCACAAACCAACCCATGAAATGATCATATTCTATACAAAGAGGGTGTTGGCATGAGGAACGGGTTACGAGTGTCCCTTGAAACTATGTCAATTACATTTTAAAATGTACACCGGTTCTTTCTTTAATCTTCCAGTGCCAGAACTTGGGGAAACTCACTACAGTGCAGGTTGGTCACGACAACTCGGGCTTGTATGCCAAGTGGCTGGTGGAATGCATCATGGTTAGGAATGAGATAACCGGTCATGCGTACAAGTAAGTTCAGTGTTTGTGATACTGCAACCACTGTATAATCTTGCTTCCCTGCATATTAAATCCGAGAGAAGCGTATATTAAATTTTGACCCCAACCACCAGCTCAGCCAGAGACCTGTTGTAAATTGATGAGAATGCTGTAGTTTTTTTCCTTTGGGATTACACATTTCTTCATTCTCACAGTCTCCGCCCACCATAAAATCAGGTTCACCTAGAGTCAGACTGTTTAGGATTTGCCTACTTGAGCCCGTATATGTCGTTCAATCGATTACAATTCCAGAACGGTTCACATTGGAACGACCTGCATGTTTTTTCTCCTGTGATAGCTCATTGTGTAACATTGTACTGAACTATATGATCCTTGGTCATAGCTATTTGTTGATTTCAATGTTAAGGAGCAGACAGAAAAAGGATAGGGGTGGACTTGGATTTGATGATCCATGAGGTCACTTAGCCCAATGACACTCACTGTCAAACACATGTGAGGAATGGAGTGATTGAGGTACCCGACTCCCAGCAAGATTTGCCCACCTTCGGGGGGAGTTAGTGGGAGAGAATAAGATTTAAAGAACCATCCGTGTGTCTTATCAGAGCGAGTCGCGGCATTTATTTCTGTTGCCAGGTTCCCGTGTGGGAGGTGGCTCGGTAAAGGGGTGGATGACGGGAGTTTGGAGAGGATCCTGGTCGGGGAACTCGCGTCAGCCACTCAGGAAAACGATGAGCGGCACTGCCGAACACCCCCTATGCAGCAATCTCCCAGTATGATCAGAAGACTCGTCAACATAACTCCCACCAGCAGGCCAAGTGAGTGACCTCAGCACCTGCCACAGAATCAGATGTAGTCATTAGAGTGTGGTAAAGGGAGGAATGACTTTCTCTCTCCCTCAATTCGCCAAATCGTTTAACCTTTATAACCCAATTATATCACCAATAATTTGTGACTTACTTATATAAGGGGTGGGGGGGGGCAAGGGGGTGGGCAAAGGGGGGAGTGCAAGGGGGTGGGCAAAGGGGGGAGCGCAAGGGGGTAGAAGGCATTTTCATTGTACTACGCTCAACATTAGAAAAAAGTCACAAGACCTGTCGCTTTTTAATAATATTAAAATATTCGCCTTCGTTCTTGTAGAGCTGAACACTGGTCAGATACAAGAGTCCGTTGGCGAAGCTATCAATGGGATCGTCAAACACTTTCATAAGCCTGAAAAAGAGGTAAGGCGGCTACGGTTCAAGAAACAATTCTGAGCGAAGGAAGTTATAACCTGCCAGAGTGTGATGTGGTTCTTTCGCTAATTCAGGTCGTTCTTGAAATGTTCTTTTTTGAAAGGATTTTATGACAGATCCATTCGAAATTGAACGGATTGAAATTAAATAAGGAAAGAATTATAGTGGTAAAGTAAACCAGCAGCCATATTTGGAAACTTCCAGCTCAGCACTGCGCTCAGGCTGTATTTTATACGACAATAATATCCAAATCAACCACTTTGAGAGGCGTGTAATATGGACATTGGGAAGCACATATGCAGCTTACCTTAAGTATTTCCATCATGGGTTCAGTAACTTCACTCCATGGGCTATTTGCTATATCCCACCATCCCAGTGAAAGCTTTCTGTGAAGTTTGTGCCTGACACCATGCTCCGAGGTAATCGTGCCTCTCTGTGTTTCTGTTGTAGAGAGGCAGCTTGACATTACTGCTTTGTGGCGAAAATGGGCTTGTAACTGCCTTGGAACAGGTGTTCCACCATGGATTTAAGTCACCGAGACTCTTCAAAAATGTCTTCATTTGGGACTTTTTGGGTAAGTCAAGCACACGTTGTTTTTGTTTTTAATTGAAGCATGTCTTTATCTTGCACTGCAAAACCTTCTGCTGTTCCATTGGCTTTCCCTTGCACGGTTGAGGACATGTCTACACCTCCAAGCCTGACTTGGATTCCAGGCAGGTTTTCTTTGAGCCAGTTGAGGTCCAGGGAGGCTATGAAGATAGCACAATGCCATGTATCCAAGATTATTACTGACTGCATTTTGTGCTCTTTCTTTCAGAAAAGACTTACGCTCACTTTGAGAGCCTTGAACAGACTGAAGTGACTCCAGAAGAGAACTGGCAGACGCGGGCCAGGAATTTCTGCAAGTTTGTCAGTGCCATCAACAGTGCTCCCAGGAACATTGGAAAAGATGGCAAGTTTCTGCTGCTGGTCTGCTTGGGCTCAAGGTAATAAACACTTCTTTGCATTCTCTTGAAGACAATATTGTGATCCACCTGATAACTGGTCTTCTTTCCACATATGTAAAACCACCATTGGAACAATTTGTATTTCTGGACGAGCTAGTGAATGATAATAACCCTTGCATTTGATATAGCGCCTTAGCACGTGGTTGAGATGTCTCAAAACGCTTCACAGAATATACTGTAAAGTGAATTGACTCACCCACAAAATATATACGGTCAATTCACTTTACAGTGTATTTTGTGAAGCGCTTTGAGATGTCTCAAAGACGTAATAAGGCGCTATATCTAATACAAGGATTATTATTATTATATTTTGTGGGCAAAACATGGCAGCCAATTGCGCCCAGCAGTATCCCACAAACAGTCATGGATCTGAGTGACCAAATTATTGTTTTTATTTATTTATTTGATGATGTTCCATCAATTGCTTAAAAATATCTGATAAAATGAAATGTACCAGATTAAAAGTTCAGCCTCTCTGAGATAAGTTACTACAGAGAAGTTTTCGGGGGTGGGGAAGGAAAATGTCCCTTTCTCTACCGAAGAGGCTGAGTCGCCCTGGAAATCCAGCCACCATCAGACACCTTGTCCAAGACAATCTAGTCTGAGTGTCTGCAAGCTTTCTGATGCAGTGTGATATGTGATCCAGCCCACGATTGCTTTCAAAAGTTTTTTTTATTGGTAGTGATTCACAAAGCTGATGTGTCGAACTGCGTTTGTGTTGACATTTTAAAGTTTGTCCGGAAGCAGCACTGGCTCAGCAGGTCTGCGCTGGTTACTTTGACATGATTGCCTTCCTACATTACACACTTTCCAGGATTCTGCAGCCCACGTCCTCTCCTGAACTGTGCTCCGTGAGCCTGTCACCCTCATTTTTGTTTGTCCTCACGTTCAAGCACCTTACCTCTGCGGCTTTCTGTATCCCTACCACCCGGTTCACTCTCACTACTCAGCGATCTGCTTTGGTCTCGCTCACCGATCGTGGGATGGCTTTCAACTGTTCCGTCCTACTCTCTGAAGCTTCATCCTGGAGACCCTCCACTTTGTCGCTCCCTCACTGCCCTTAAGACCCATCTCTTCAACCGATCTAGTTCTGTTTTACGACGAAGGGAGTGTCGGGATTTTGTGTTTTGTTTAAGCTGTAATGCTTTTCGCTCTGCGTTTCCTGCAGCCGAATGACTATGTCTGTCGGTCTCTCCGTCACATCCTCAACCTCTTTCTCCTTGCGTGACAGGGACCACCTCTTGCACCACTGGATCGCGCTGCTTGCCGACTGCCCAATCACGGCTCAGATGTACGAGGACATGGCTCTCATCAAAGACCACACCCTCGTCAACTCCTTGATCCGAGTGCTGCAAACCCTGCAGGAGTTCAACATCACCCTCGAGGCATCTTTGGTCAAAGGAATAGACATTTAGGCAGTGACCGTGCACTGCTGACAGCACTAGCAGGGAGGAGGGAGCGTACAGCTTATGACGTGCGCGAGATAAATGCTACAGGAAACACAAGACTGCAATATTTGGAACTCAGCAGCTAGTTTAGAAGTTGCAAAGAAGTTGCCATAAAGTATGTGCAATGAGCCTTTTTAAAGCCTGTTGCCCAAGACTGTATTGGCTGTGTTGGGCAATTTTAGGGTTTAAAATAATGTGCATACACTCCATTTCTAATGTTTACTGGTTTTACTGCGCTTAACAGCCAACACAAGAGAGATGCTTTTTTTTTGTACATATTCTTTTGGGTGGGGGGTAAAAAGAAACCAAGAAGAAAAAGCAGTGTTACGTTCTTTTTTTAAAAAAATTGTTTTGCTGCAAATGGCTAATACTTGCACTGTTAACTTCAATTTACATAGTTGTTTGGACATTTTATTTAATACCTGTACATAATGCTGGTGCACTGAGCTGCGCACTCCATTTACTTTGTAGCTGCTAAAATATATCTATATATAGACAAGTATTCTTGTAAATCTAACTTGGTATTTTTTCAAATGTTGGTGGGTAAGAGTTTAAGATGAGAGATTGAGATTGTTGAGTAAATACTCTCGTTTGTAACTTTTTTTCCCCCTATATCACTTACCCTCTCTATTTTACAACAGAGATTTAATTTCCCTTAAATATGTCCGTTCGACATGCAAGTAAGTACCTATGATGTCTACCTGGAAAGCACAGCCTTCTTCAACTCAATTCAATGAGGTTCTCATTCAAGCCACGTGCGGATGTAACATGGGATGTCACACGTTGACCACACCAGCCGAGTAGAGTATGTGTGCGTGTGGAAACATGTTAATGCTAACACATGTCTGATTCATTGACTGATACCATAACTTTACATTCCAGGAGACGGAGGAGGAATTGTCACCTGTGGGATTAACAACCTTATATTTAATATTTAATATTGCCTCCCCTCTCCCCTCCCCACTCTTTTCGTTCCTGTACAAAGGTGATTAGAATTTAATCATACAAAATGTTATGGGTTTGCCCAATCCACTACCTGTTCAGGTGGGCTTACATTTTGCAGACAATATTACACTTGTACTGTAAAGATTTTTAATGATCTGTGTTTCTTTTTTTTAAATCATGATCAAAGTAGAGTAAATAGATGTCAGGAAGCCCCCTGAGATCTCCTTAGTCTTCAAAGCTCTGTCTGGCAGACCAAACTACCGATAGTTTATGGCTGCCTGTGTTCCCTCTCTCCCCCCACTCCCCCGCCCCCACACACAGACACATACACCTTACTGGCCTGTGAGGAGGCTGCATCCAGCATTGATTTGTATAATTTTTATTGTTACCGAGGTTCTGCATTGGGTCTAGACCTAAGTATTATGTGCCAGATTTTTCTAGACAAGCTTCCCGTTAGCCTCTCGTACTATCAGGATAGCACCTCCAAGCTCTTGTCAAACATTAGTAAAATAAACTATGATTGAGCCCTTAGCCGTAGATGCATGTAAAGTAATCGACACCAAGGACAGGTTAATGTGATAGAGGCCAAGACACCGGACTCATTTAAGAAATAAACTATTTTTTGTTCAACTCTCTAGTCCAGGAGAGTCCAAGGCCATTTCATCTCACCTCTACTGCAGAGACGGAGGGAGGAAAATCAATTAGAATTTCTGCTCTTGATTCCTCTCCAGTGATTTCTGTTGGTGTGTGACCATTCAACGAGGACAAGATCAACCTCGCAAAGCCCATGATTGTAAAACTTAGTGTCTGGGCTCAGGATTTAGGTACTGTAAAATGGTCATGACTGTGGAACCATACCCATACTCCACCACATCTCGGTAACTTCGGGAGAGGAGTAATGGAAGAACTGAATAATCCTTGCATTTGATATGGTGCCTTATGATGTCTTCGAGACGTCTCAAAGCGGTTCACAGAATATACTGTAAAGTGAATAGACTGTATATTTTGTGGGCGATACGCAGCAGTCAAATGTCCCACAAACAGCCGTGAATTGAGTGACCAATTTGTTGTTAAGGAATTATTATACACGGAAAATAACAACCTGGGTTCCTACTTACTAAATGGTTATTAATTCCAAGTGACCTTGAAGTGTCAATCATATCAGCCAAGAAATCCACAGATTTTTTCTTAAAACAGTAAGTCTAATTTGCAGATGCTTTTCCCCCTGTGTTAATACGTAAGGCAATCCTTGGTATATATACGATTTCCCAGCACAATCCTGTTGTCCGATTGACATGTCCATTCTGAGCACGATCCTGAAGTTCAAGGTTGGAGAGCTAACCATTTAGATGAATCACTGATGATCTATTAACAGTGACCAAGTTGCCATGACTAAAAGTTACCCCTGCTTTCCCCTCCGTCTTTACTTAAAAAAATTAATATATTTTTGAGTCCGAGGTTGGAATTCAAGGCCCTCATGTAGAACGTTTGGGTCAAGCTAATAGGCAGGTTGGCACATGTCGAGTGAGGTTAAAAATGCCTGAAAATCCAATAACAAGCAAGGAACCATTCTCCCTGAACAGGCAGGATATGGTGTCAGCCGCACACCCTCATTAAACAGTTTTCAATCTCTCTGAAGCATCTGGTAAACTGGCAAAAGCATCCTATCGATAGCAATCACTCTCTTTAAGCACAATATTGTTCATTGGGGGAGGTTATCGTTGAATCAGAATAATTAATCCCCACTCCCCAAATCCAGGTAACAGTTTTGTGTCCTAGCATTTACATTATTGGAAGAGTCAACAATGTGGATATTGAACAGATTCTTTCCTCACTGCTCTCCAGTGGAAGACATGAAATTGGGGCTTCTGATTTAATTGTGTTGTAGCGATTGAAAACGTTTTACCTTTACCCACCATAAGCTCCTTAGCTATTAATATTCTTACAAAGAATGTAACCAAGTTGCACAATATCAAAAGATATATATAAAAAAAGGTTGAATTTGTTCACGAATACTGCACTCCCTTATAAACACAAAATATTTGCTGCATTGCATTATATTTTAGATATATATTTGACATGGAGCAAAATATATTGCAATGTATATTTTTCTCAAGGGTTTACTGCAGTGGAATCTACAGGGGAAGAGGACCAGTTGGGTGAATTTTTTTTAATATTGCTTTTTCCTGTAGTTTGTAAGTAGGACCATCTGAAGAGCATTATACTTAACATAAACCAGAATTAATTCTTTAGCCATGAGATTATGTTCTGTGTGTGTATCATACTAACTGGTCAATGGTGTACAGTGTATTTAAAATGTATTAACGAAGACATGTTGATAGTGATATGTCTGTATTTATAAGTGTAATGTATATTTTTACATGATGAATTTGCTCCTGTGAGTAGATGATGACTAACTGGGTGGGGATGGGTTTATAGAAGGAGTTGTTTGTTTATATCTGTTTAACTGCCCTGTCGGGTATCTAATTCTGTATATGAACCTTAGCTCTGTACTATATAGATGGCCTAGTGGTGTTGTATTCCAAACTGTCCTTATAAATAAACTGAAAAGATTTGATAATTTTCGGTTTGACTATGAAGTGATGATGCAACAATCTTGCTGCTCTGTCCACTTGTTGCTTTAAACGCAATGTTTCAGACTTATGATGTGATCATGACCCAATTTGTTCCATCGAGGATAAACAGTCACCCCTTTCTCAGTGACAACTTTGCTCACTGACACCAGCAAACTACTTATATTATGATTGTGGCTTGGAGTTCCCATAACAGAATACACTGGAATGTGAATTAACTTGCGTATCTTGTGGGCAAAACGCGGCAGCCAATTGCGCTCAGCAGTGTCCCACAAACAGTCGTGGATGAAGTGACCATATTATTATTAATTGTTATTATTATTAGCAATGAGTAAATGAAAGGATTAAAGAAGTGGTGATGTTTTGTGGCCACCTGCAGCCGCCAGTGACGTTCCTGCCAATTGGCAAGATCTCTCCAGCGTCAATCTCCATTGATAGCCGCTGTCAAAAGATGCTTTTTGCTGCTCTTATTTACACGAGGGTTGTCACCTATCGGATCGTTACCTTTGAGGGGTGGGGGAGAAACCCACCTTCGTCCTTATCAGGTACAGTATCGTGTTTTGAAAAGTGAGCGCATACCTTCTGCGCTGTGTCACATCAACTCGAGCACATGAAGACGCCGATGTATTTGCAGATAAGGAAAACAGTGGTGTGGGTCAGTCAAAACAACTGACTGCAGGGCACATGGTATTTTCTAAAGAGGTCCAGGCACTTACAACAACCGTACAGACCCTTACCATTCGTTTGTTCACTCATTCAATTTCTTTTGCTCTCATACTGATGTTGCCGTTGCTTTCTTTTGATTTGCCCATCTCTCTCTCTCTCTCTCTCCCTCTCTCTCGTGCATTTGATTGTCACTGGAGTCATTTCCATTCCAACGTCTGGCATTCATGACCGGATTTTTTTTTGGAGGGGGGGGGGGGGGGCGGAAAAAATATTCCTTGCAAAAATTCAAATGACGTCCCCACCGACGCCAAAGAAAGTTAATGTCAAGGTGGTGGAGTGTGTGGGAGGAGAGCGGGACAGAGAGCGGAGAGCGTGAGAGAGGGAAGCAGCAAAAAAAAAGGAGGAAATGCACACGACATGTCTGGTTGTCAAGTCTACTCCCAACAGCGACAACAAACGACGTGCTTTCCTTTCAAGTCGGGAGGAACGGAAGTCCATCGGAAAACACGAACTTAATAATAATCCTTGCATTACGACACAGCGCCTGGTCGCGTCTGCGAGACGTCTCGAAGCGCTCCACAGAAGTAAATCGATGGGACTTGCGTGTTTTGTGGGGGGGGGGGGGTGGGGGGGAGTAAAATAGGGGCCAGATATACATATAAAAAAACACCTCGGTGGGTTGGAGGAACTGCCCGGTGGAAGTATTGCATTGGGGTAAAAGTGATGCACGAGGTGGGGAATCAATCCACATCGCATCACTTCAGCACGTAATGCAATACGTCTGCACGTTTACAACAACACACACACACACAATATACATATATATGTATACACATATAGAGCTGCGATGCAACAGTGTGTTTGTGCATTTGTTGCATTTATTGTCATTGCAAAATACAGCCCCAAAAAAGCGTTTTTTTGTGCGTTTCTGCGTCTCGCACAACGCGAAGGTTTCTCAACGACGAAACCTCTCAACGTGCACGTAGGCTGGAGGGGGGGGGGGGGGGGGGGGGGCGTTTTATGTCTGACGTCGCAATTTCCTCCCAAACCCTCCCCCCCCCCCCCACACACACACACACACACAGAGAAAAATAAAGATTGATATCAAATGAGTCTGGAGGCGAGGAGGGAGACACGGTCTGTGTCTGTGACCCGACTGGTTATTCATCTACAAACGCAACGCAACTCGATGCGGTGGTGCGGTGCGGTGGGAGGAGGGGGGGGGGTGCAGTGGGGAGGGGGGGGGGGGGGTGAGGGGGGGGGGGTGGGGGGGGGGGTGCAGTGGGAGGGGGGGGGGGTGCAGTGGGGAGGGGGTGGGGGGGGTGCAGTGGGGAGGGGGGGGGTGCAGTGGGAGGGGGTGGGGGGGTGCAGTGGGGAGGGGGTGGGGGGGTGCAGTGGGGAGGGGGTGGGGGTGGGTGCAGTGGGGAGGGGGGGTGCAGTGGGGAGGGGGTGGGGGGGTGCAGTGGGGAGGGGGTGGGGGGGGTGCGGTGGGCACCCCCCCACCCCCTCCCCACTGCACCCCCCACCCCCTCCCCACTGCACCCCCCCCCACTCCCCACTGCACCCACACCCCCACCCCCTCCCCACTGCACCCACCCCCCCCACCCCCCTCCCCACTGCACCCCCCCACTGCACCCACCCCCCACCCCTCCCCACTGCACCCCCCCCACCCCCTCCCCACTGCACCCCCCACCCCTCCCCACCCCCCCACCCCCTCCCCACTGCACCCCACCCACGCACCCCGTATTTATATATTAAAAAAACTCAGTCCACTCCTGATCTCTCCAGCAGGTGACCTCTCCACACTCAGGCATCAAACGAAGAGGGGTTGGGAAACTCATCACCAATGCTCAAGTTGAATGAATGATTATCACTTGACCAG